GGTCTTACGCGCGCCACAACGCCCCCCCCCCCTTTCTCCCGTTGTCGTCCGTTCGCATTAGCCGGCGCTAGCAGGAATCCTACGGCGGCCCACGCGCGCGACCGCCAGGGTCGGGGTGCCGCTCCCCGTTAGCGTCAAGGTGAAAGCTCTTGAGACGCTAAGCTAAGCTAAAGGCGTCAGTGAGGAAAACGAACACGGGCGGGAAAATGGCGTCAGCGCGCGCGCACACGCAACACCTTAACGTTTGAGCTGTGAGCGAGCGAGCGAGCGAGCGAGGTCAAAGCGGGCGATGGCGAAGGGCCAAGGGGGAAACCGGGCAAGTGGACAATTCCCGTCCGCCCAAGACTTTTCACTTTTGATCCCCGAGGCCTCTTCGCTCGCCCCCCTGCCCGCGCGGGGTCCCTCTCGCCACGCTGTCGGCCATTTTGGGGCAAAAGGGCTCGTCGAGCGCGAGATGAGGGGGAGACCTTTGGAGGACATGATGTGACGCGCCGCCACCCGAGTTCTGGCATCCAAAGAGGGAGAAGCGAAGAGGCCTTTTGGATTGAAGCCCAAACGTCTTGAACAAGCGGGAAAAGTCCACCGGGCGCCACGAGGCGGCCCCTCAGGGACTCTGTTGCTCCATGTTGTCGACGAGGCCGCCTCCCTTGGCCAAGCGCAGCTGTCTGACGGAGCGCCAGACCCCCAGGTAGTCGCCCGCCGCCGCATCCTTGTCGGTGGTCGCGCGGGAGGCCACGCCCCCCGCCTCGCGGTCGACGCCCGCCTCTCCCGCCGGGGGAGCTTCGCGGAGGTCGCCGCCGCCGCCGCCGCCCTCCAGGTGCTCGTAGGAACTCTTCTTCTTGATCTCGAAGAACTTGACCGCGCAGTAGGTGACGGAGCCCACCGTGTTGACCACCACGCCGGCCACGAAGAGCGCGCTGGGCGCCACGTCGTCAAAGGCCAGCATGCCCACGGTGATGGTGACCGCGCTCTTGACCACGCCCACGAAGCTGGTGGTGACGGCCGAGTTGAGGTAGGTGCAGTGGTAGGTGGTGAAGTTCATGGCGCAGCCGATGGCGACGCTGGACAGGAAGAGCGCCACGACGCCGGCGTCCTTCCAGCCCGGGTACGACCACACGGCCGCCGCGTCCGACGAGATCACGGCGCACGCCAGCAGGACCTGAGGCGAAGCCCGCGGGATGAAAGGCGAGCGGACGGCGAGCGGACGGGAGGACCCGGCCGCGACGGCGGCCTCACCGGGGTGGCCATGACGGCGATGGCGTACTGCGCGGTGAGGGGTCCGTGCTGGCTCTCCACGCTGGTCTTCTGGATGAGGACCAGGTAGGACGCGTGGACGACGACCGCCAGGACGCCCGTGGCGTAACCGAACGGGTCGCCGCTCAGGTCTCCCGCACCTGCCCCCGGGGTGCAAAGCGGAAGACGGATGACGCGCGTGGGCGGCGACGGCGAGGCTCGGCGAGGCGCTTACCGGCCAGCGCGGCGCCCCCCGTGGTGATGGCGACGGCGGCGAGCACGCCGGGGGACGGGGCGCCGTTCCTGAGGACGCAGACGCCGATGGCGAGCGTGAAGAGCGGCAGGCAGCGCTTGAACACCACGTACATGGGCAGGCTCAGGCCGCGCAGCGACCACAGCGTCAGCGTCGACTGCAGCGTCGACAGGACGCACACCGCCGCAAACTCCTGCGGGGGGGGGGGCGGGGGGCAAGGTGCCAGACCGACGTCACTTTCAATCAGATCGAGCCACACTGGGAGAAATTTGCTCCAACTTGTCAGGACACGTATCGCCCCCTCCCAAAAAAAAAAAAACAACTTTCATAGCAGTGTGTGAAAAGGGCTGCCTGCCGTGACGTCATCAA